TAATCTATGGGGGAGCAGCAGTTTTTGATAAAACACCCAAATTAAATTCTCCAAGTTAGAAAAAAAGGAAATTATCCCATTTAGTATCACTTGAATACCGTTAGTTATTCAGTTCAACAGAGAATTCAGTCAGTTATTCAGCAGAGCTCTGGCTTCTGAGACTCTGAATACATCAGGCAGAGAAATTCATTTCATAGTTTTTCAACTGTGAACTTGTAGGAGTGTGGAGTTAGATAACATCTAGTTGCCCAGAGATTTAGAGATGAGCCAGCCTGACTTGAGAAATGATATTATTTGTAAAAACTGGACATTTATCATTGCTGCAGTTACTAGGTTAGATTTTGGAGGATTTTGGATAGGATACTAGGTTAGATTAAGCAGGATTTTGGAGTCATCAGAGGGACTTGTGTTCACCTCTGCCTCCTTGACCTGTGTCATTCTGGTTGTGGCCTTTAACCAACAATCTGCACACTGGTTGTCTCACTTCTTGCCAGGTTGTTGACAGAGCGGAGTGGGAAATGTGGGCTCAGGCCCAGCTTGGGGTCCAGTGATGTGGGTTCCATTCCCTTTCCTCTTAGAGTGTGCACCAGAGTCGGGGTCAGTGATACTAAACTGCTGTAGGCTTGAGACAGGTAGAGCTGGAAGGGGCTTGTAGGGGTAGAGTCTGGACTGGGAGTGGAGTGGGCACAGCAGAATTTTGGGCTGGGAGGACAGCTGAAGGAGAAGACAGACGAAAGGCTTTCTCTATCCCTTCATGGGAATGGGACATCGTGCAGTTTCTCCTTGGACATAGCTGGCTTGAAGTGCTCCTTAAACTCTAGGTGGCACATATTTTTGGTATTATAACTTGGAATAATGCTAGCCTGAGCTCCCATGTGGCCGATTCATGTCCTGCTTAGGGTCCTCTTTCCTCTTGAATTGCTCAGGAATCTCTGGGGGCTTTATGGTTCCCCAAGCTCGGTCATTACAACATGCATAGGGGTGTGAAGTGCTCTTGTCTTAAGGAACTCCTGCAGTGGCTCCTGGAGGCCACAGGGGGTCACTGTTGGCAGCCATCAGGCATTGCTCGCAGGGTTCAGGACCACAGGAGTGGTTGGCTGCCGACCTCAGTAGCCTCAGACCAGGGTTGAGAGAGCCCTTTCTCTAGGCCCAAGTTTAGCTGTGGTCGAACTTTGCTTACCTCATCTTGAGTGCCAAGCCCATTCTTCCACCAAGGGACCATGGCTCCAGCAGGCCGAGTCACAAAAGGCCTGTGTGATTCCTTTCAGCATCTCGGCTGCCTGTTTTCCCTCCCCAGGGGTCTGAGGCTTTTCCTACTCATACTTGTTTTTTCTGTTCTCTGACAGGAGCCTGTGACTCCACACATCCCCTCCGCTCTCACATCATTTCCCCACCTCCACCCAGGGACGGACTCTTTCTAAAGGCGCCATTTCAGCCTCTTTATCTCACAGCAAACACGACAATAACAGACAATATTTAATAAACCTAGCCCATGCCAGGGCTTTTCAAGCCTGCTATGTACTGTCCCATGTACGTCTCAAAGCAACTCAGTCAGGCCCCCACTTTATAGGCAAGGAAAGAAGGTGTAGATAAGGTAATTCAGGTGGCCCAAGATCACATGGAGCAGAATTTAAATACATCCACATTCACATACAATTCAAATCTTTACTGATGCCTTTCCCCATATTATAGGATTATTCATTAATTTTCAGGGACATTGTTCTCTTCACACAAGGGATTACTACAAATTAATGTTGCTTTGAAGCATGGAGTTTCTCTGCAGGATGTAACTGGATCATCTGAATTCTATAGGACACTGAGCTTTTTCGGTCTGGGCAGGGGAGTAGGGTGGGCCTGAGATCTCTGAGCTGACCCGGTTGGTCTGAGTTGGTGAACACGGCTGCACAGAGGCAGGCTTGTAGCTTGGTGGGAGTGTGGTGGAGCTACAGTGCAGAATGATGTGGGGGTGTGTGTGTGTGTGTGTGTGTGTTTGTGTGTGCTGGGGAAGGAGCCCACTGAGCTGAGAAAGTAAGGAAAGTAGGCAGAGCACTTCTCAGGGTCTTACCTGGCAGGCCAAGGTGTTTGTATTTTATTCTGTGTGCAGTGGGAGCCCCTGAAGGCTTTTGAGGAAGAAAGTGGTAAGATTAGAGCTGGGCTTTAGGAGAATGGGTTTAGTCTTTGTGTGACAAATGGCTCAGGGCCCCACCTGTCTGAATTCCAAAAACCCGGCTCCCTAGTCTGCATATAATTTCCTTCTGCAACCTGCCTGCCTGTCTGTCACTGAATGTCACTGTCTCTCAGGGGCTGTAATCTTCCAAAAGTCATGGTCCTTGTAGGGGACGAGCTTCTAGTTTTTAGTTTGCAGTCAAATGTCTGCAAAGGCCATCCCGGGGCCCCCTGACCTTGTTGGAGCCTTTCGTCACAATACAAGGCAGGTATCATGGTGTTCTTAGGGTGTGGAACTTGCAGACCTCCCTTTTGAGTTTCAGAAGCCACAACATATGGATGTCTTCTCAGGGCCACTTGGCAGACACAAGACCCTTCCTTGAAAAACACAAAAAAATGGAAGGCCAGAGGGAGGGGTGTCTTGGAGTCTTGTAACATAAGGAGTGACAAACCACTGAAACCTCAGTTTTCTCTCTGGAACGGCCTCCTCCCTTTTCTTTCTCTGGAAAACTCTTATTGATCTTCCCACACCCAGTCAAATTATTTCCTGTGATGACTGCTGGCTCCCTAGTAGCATGCGAGGCTGCTGCTGCCCCTAAACTCTGACAGTACTTCATTGGTCTCTTTTTTAAATGCTGCTCACTACTTTCCTCATTATGCTAGAGATATTTGTTGGTCTTATTTTCCCAGCTTGCCTCTGAGTGCCTTGAAAGAAGGATTTCCTTCACTATTATCTCTGTATCCAACTCAGGGCCTAGTGCAGCGCTAAATACTTAATTGAGTTCCATCAGTCATACAAAAATATGTATCACCTGCCGACCGTGGCACTAGAATACAGCAATGAATAGACCAAAGCAGACTCTCCACCTGCCCTCGTGGAGTTCACAGCCTAGTGGATATTCTGCATGGGACACCCATGGGGCCACTTCCATAAATACCTTCTGAGGGACAGACTTCATGCTGCCTTCCTCAGATCTGGGAGATGTTCTGTTCCCAGAAAGCGTTCTTTGACAACTTGTGAAGTAGAAATGCTTTCTTTCAGGAACAGGGCAACTGACCTTTGAATACTAACAGTGCAGTTCTTGGTAGGTGCCTGCTATGCATGTGTTGAGTGGCATTAGAGTAGAAACAGACTAAGATTTTACTCTGAGAAGAGAAGGTGACCCACTGGGGCTGGGGCATTAGCCTGGTACAATTAGAAGAACAAAGCCAGCAAGAGGTTTTTGCAAAATAGTTGGATTTTAGAGGCAGATAGGGGCCTGCCAAGATGCAATGAGACTACAAAATAATTGGTTTTAATTCCAGAATTTGCCTGTAATGGATTTTGTTCCCTGTCCCGCATTTTCCTGGTCCCAGACCTCCCTTTTGAGATTTGGAAGCACAGATACCTTTTCAAGGCCACTTGGCTGAGACAGGACCCTTCCTTGAGGAGCACAAAAAGATGGAAGAGGTCGTGCATGGTAGTTCACTCTTATAACCCCAGTACTTTGGGGAGGCCGAGGTGGGAACAAGAGTTCAAGACTAGGCTGGGTAATATAGTGAAGCCCTGTGTCTACAAAAAATTTTAAAAATTAGATGGGCATAGTGGCGCACACCTGTAGTCTCAGCTACTCAGGAGGCTGAGGTGGGAGGATTGCTTGAGCCTAGGAGGTCGAGGTTGCAGTGAGCTGTGATCGCACCACTGCACTCCAGCCTGGGTGACAGAATGAGACCTTATCTCAAGAAAATGAATATATATACTTATATTAATATATGTATATGTGAATACAGAGGGCTAGAGAGCTGGGTGTCTTGGAGTCTTGTAAGCTGTTGGAGTTATCAAAAGATCCTCTTCCCCCTCCCCGCCCATACACTCACCTACCAGCTGTCAAGGTCATGGGAAACCAAGAAGGGGCTCCAGAACTGGGACACTAGTGTTTCCAACAACTCGTCTTGCAGTAGGAGGAAGGATGGTTCCTGGCCTGGTCCACTTACCCAGTTGGGCAAATTGCTGTCCTTCCTTGGGCCTCAGTTTCCACATGAATAACATGAGGAGGTTGGAACAGATGGTCTTTCAATGCTTCTTTGTTTTTTAGTAGGAAAGAGCTCTGGTGTCAGATACACAGGGTTTTAAACCGAAGGTAGCTGCTTGAGTGATGGGGCCATGGAGGGGGGAAAGAACTGTGTGGGTTTTAGAGCCGGGCACACCTGGGTTTCTGTCCAGGTTCTGCTCCTTATTAGCTGATTTACTTTGGGCAAGTTACTTAACCTCTCAGAGGCTGGTTTCCTCACCCATAAAGCAGAAATAGTGATGTGCCCTCCCTGGGTGGTTGGGGGAAGTCCCTTAGATAATGCAGGGAAGGCACCAAACCCAGGGCTTGGCACTGTCAATGAGGGTGATGGTGGTGCTGTCTGGAGATGCTGGCCACCTTGACAGGTGAGCTGAGTGGGCAGAGGATTTGAGGAGCTGCTCTGAGCAGGACACTCCCAGGAAGAAATACACAGGGAGATGGAAATTTCCACTCCAAGGTGGCTTGGCCATTCTAGAATGGCGTCACAGGAACAACTAGACAACCCTAAACTGTCAGGGTATCTTTACCTCTGTAGGGACAGGCTTGCTCTAGGGCTGCTGCTAGGGGTGGGCGGGGCCTGCCTGTGATTCTGGGTTCTGAGCTTCCTTGCAGCCAGGTGAATCCTGAGGTTCTTGGACTATTAGGTTGGTGCAAAAATCACCGCGATTTTTTGCCACTACATTGCAATTACTTTTGCACCAACCGAATACATCCTGTCCCAGCTGGCCTAGTGCACTGCCTGGGCTGCGGATCTGGGCTAACGCGCTGTCTTCCTGTTTCCAGTGCGCCGGTCAAAGGCGGCTGATGAGGAGAGGAGCCGCCGAGCCCAGCGCGCCCGAGACGAATACCGACGCCACTCGCTCCGTGCTATCCAGAAGGGCACGGTCGCTGGCCTCAGCTCCATGTTCCGGGAGCTCGGCCAGAGCCATGAGCAGGAGGCAAGACTCTACCACCACCTCCCCGGGCCGGGTCCGCCGCAGCCCCTCGCCCTGCCGGTCAGGTGGGTCGAGGCTCCGCGTTGGCGTGGTTGGGGCAAGGGCCTTGGATTAGGGCATGGGACACCGGGGTCCCAGTCCCGGTTCTGCCCCAGATTTGCTGTGTAGTTTGGGGCTAGCATTTCCCCTCTGGACCTCAGCCCTAGTCTAGGGTAGAAGAGGGAGGAGAGGTGTGGGAGTTGGAGATTTGGAATAACTTTGGAGTTCTGAGAGCTTTGACCTTTTTTTTTTTTTTTTTTTTTTTGAGGCAGAGTCTCGCTCTGTCGCCCAGGCTGGAGTGCAATGTTGCAATCTCGGCTCACTGCAACCTCTGCCTCCCAGGTTCACGCCATTCTCCTGGCTCAGCCTACCGAGTAGCTGGGACTACAGGTGCCCGCCACCACGCCCGGCTAATTTTTTTGTATTTTTTAGTGGAGACGGGGTTTCACCGTGTTAACCGGGAGAGTCTCGATCTCCTGACCTCGTGATCCGGCCGCCTCGGCCTCCCAAAGTACTGGGATTACAGGCCTGAGCCATCGCACCCCTACGAGCTTTGACCTTTTTAAGGTCAAGGATTCCTTTGAGAATCTGAAGAAAGCTGTGTACCTTCTTCCCCCTCAAATTTGCGGATATAAAGACCTAGAATGTTTGCATACAATTTGAGACTCTAAGGGCCCCAGGCTAAGAACTTGTAATGAGCCCTCAGATGGGTGAAGCATGGCCAGGCAGCCTGGACACAGGGCTTGATGACTCTGAGTCCCAGGCAAGCCGATTTTTCTCTAAGTGGAATAGTAGGTTTGCAGTTTAGCATGGTTGGATGCAGGCGGGTCCTCACACACATTTGTGTCCCCTAAGGGTTTGCAAGGGCACTTAGATGACTGTCCGAAATTGCCAGGACCAAAGGTTAAGAGGTTGCAGGGAGCCTCTCTTCCCTCTACCCGCCCCCACCTTAGGCCAGCCCCAAGGTTTGGCCTCTCTCCTCTTGGGTGCTCCGGTCCCCAGATCATTGCTGAACAACCACTGTCCCCAGGAGGGCCAGAGGCTGGGTGGTGAGCACCTGCCGGCTCCCTTAACCTCAGTAATCTGCAGAAGAGTCCAGTCAGCCCCAGATAATGAAGGGGTGTCTGAGTTTTGCTTTAATTGGGGTTTGGGGTTACTCATAACTTTATTCTCCCTCTGCCTACAGTGTAGGGACAGTTGATGATGTCTTCATTTCTTCCCTCCCACCTTCTCACCCTTTCCTTTCTTGTCAAGTATAAGATTCCCAAACCAGAAGGTTTAAAAAGGTGTACTGAGAAATGGCTGACTCCCTCCCTCCCTCCGTCTACTCTGTTCCCCCGTCTTCCAGAGGTCACTACTGTTCTTAGTTTTTTATGTATCCGCTCACTTTATTTTTGCAATTACCATCATGAAAGGCCTTATTCCTCCTCTTTTTTTTTTGTAGAAAAATTGGCATTTTATGCATGGAGTTCTATACTTTGATTGCTTTCCCTCATTTAACTAGTTTTTAGAAGGCTTTTCGTATCAATTCTTACATTATCTATTTAGGGTTTTTTTGTTTTTTTTTGGTTTTTTTTGGTTTTTTTTTTTTTTACAGGTGCATAGTATTCTACTGCACAGTGTGTTGTAAATTATCTTTTTATTGTGTTGTCTTTTCCTTATTGATATCTAATAACTTCTTACATATTAGGGGAGAGGATTCTTTTGTCTGTGATAAACATTTTTTCTCAGTTTGGCACTTATTTTTTGATTTTCATGATGAAATTTTTTGTCGTGCAGGAATTCTTGATTGTTACAAGGTCAAATTTTCTTGTATATTTTCTTTTTTTTTTTGAGACAGAGTCTCTGTCTCCCAGACTGGAGTACAATGGTGCCATCTTGGGTCATTGCAACCTCTGCCTCCCAGGTTCAAGCGATTCTCACTGCAACCTCTGCCTCCCAGGTTCAAGCGATTCTCCTGCCTCAGCCTCCTGAGTAGCTGGGATTACAGGCACGCGCCACCATGCCTGGCTAATTTTTCTATTTTTAGTACAGACAGGGTTTCACCATATTGGTCAGGCTGGTCTCAAACTCCTGACCTCAGGTGACCCACCTGCCTTGGCCTCCCAAAGCGCTGGGATTATAGGTGTGAGCCACTGCTCCTGGCCTCTTTTATATTTTCTAAATTTGAGGGCATAATTAGAAAAGCCTTCTCCCCATCTATGCTTTTTAAAACAAACCTAGAAATTTTCCCTCAGGCCCATTTGATGGAGCCACATGGACCATGGTGCAGCCTGGCTCTGGGCTGGCTGTGTGCAGCCAATAGGGGAGCAGTGGCCTCACTCCCGAGTGAGCCTCAAAGGGAACAAGCAGCTGTGCACACAGGGCAGCAGGCCTAGGCAGTGAGAAGGCCCTCCTACCAGCCTCTCTCCTGTGGCCGCCCCATGGGATGGGTCCCTATGGCCTCACTGCTCTCACCTCTCTGGTGCCTGCCAGCACACCTCGTCTGTCTGTGCTGAGGGCAGATGCGTGCCGCTGATGGGAGGACAGGTTCAGATTCAGGAGTGAGGCTTTGGGCCAAGTGGCCTCCTAGAATACACATCTAGTATTTATATGCTTTTTTTGTTTTGAGTTTTGAGTATTTATTATCCTTATTTTAATAAAATTTATTTAATTGTATATTTATTAGATTTAAATTTTTTTAAACAAAATTTGAGACCGAGTCTTGCTCTGTCACCCAGGCTGGAGTGCAGTGGCGGTCCGATCCCGGCTCACTGCAATCTCTGCCTCCCAGGTTCAAGTGATTCTCCTGCGTCAGCCTCCCAAGTAGCTGGGATTGCAGGTGCGCACCATCACACCTGGCTAATTTTTTGTATTTTTAGTAGAGACAGGGTTTGACCATGTTGACCAGGCTGGTCTCGAACTCCTGACCTCAGGTGATCTGCCCACCTCAGCCTTCCAAAGTGCTGGGATTACAGGCATGAATCACTGTGCCTGGCCTATTACATTTAAATTTGAATGATGGCTATGTTTAACTGGCTTAGAAAATTCCTGAAAATTTAACAGTCAGCTCTTGTGGACGAATACACAAGCTGCTCACATATCTTTTTACCCAGGCCCTACTCTTTACTGCTGGTATGACTTTGGCTAGTAATTTCACTGCTAGAATCTATGCTAAGGAAATTATCTGCAAATTGGAAAAAGTGCAAAGATGATTATCATAGCATTATTAATAATGGCAAAAAGTCAGAAGCAATGTAATTGTTTAAAGTGAATTTTGGTTAAGTCAATTCATTGGAATGTTTTGTGGAACTAAAAGTGACTTCTTTGAAGGCTTTATAACGGGAAAACACCATAGATTAGCTGAAAAAGAAAAAAGAAGAGTGCAAACTATCTAATTTATATAGAATGATCAAAATTTTAAGGTATATAAATGTAGCATTTATGTTCTGGGGGAGTCAGATTCCCTGCTTAGAAACAAATTCAAATCGACTGCTTAGAAACAGAGGGACAAGAGTGTGTGAATTTGTTTTTTGCTGTTATATATAACTTCCTATTGCCTTCTAAGGAAAGCGAGTCCTAGAAACTGGAGGAGTTTTTCCCCACCAAGCACAGCTACTTTTTGGGGGATGCAAATGTGGAGGAAGAGGCTGGGTGAAGCAGGCTGCCCTGCACTGCTTAATGAAGAAGAAAGACATTTGAACTTACTGAGAAGGAAGAGTGTGAGGACTGGGAACATAGGCTGGCTGGCTGTAGGGCTGTAGAGGGTAAAGGAAAGTCCAGAGTGGCAGTGAGTGGGAAGACAGGGTGTGGAGGTCAACTCTACCGATGATGGCTGTAAGCTGTGCAATGTAACCTCACCCTCTGTCCTTCTGACATCTTTTCTCAAATCTACAGTGTCTGCTACTGTATGTGCGCTTGCGTGTGCATATGTGAGTGTATTCAGTTTAGGGCGAGTAAAGAAATGCCCTGTGGATTTATTCTGGGCTTGTAAGGAGGTACGCTGAGCACAGTGTCAAAGTGTGGGTACAGGGCAAATACGGAGACCACATGAGAGGACAGCTGACATTGATTTTATAAAAAACAAGGATAACCGTGAATTCTAAATGCCAGTACTATTAGGTGGATAACAACAACAAAATAAGAATTTACCAGGCTCCTGTCACTCAGTTGGAAATGGCGAAGAGGCTGTGGTTTTTCAAGGTGGGCTGTTGCCTTGTTCCTCAGATGCTGTATTATTATTATTATTATTATTATTATTTTGAGACAGAGTCTTACTCTGTTGCCCAGGCTGGAGTGCAGTAGCACGATCTCAGCTCACTGCCTCCTGGGTTCAAGCGATTTCCCTGCCTCAGCCTCTTGAGTAGCTGGGATTACCGGTGTCTCCCACCACGCCCGGCTAATTTTTGTGTTTTTAGTAGAGATGGGGTTTCACCACAACTCCTGCGCTTTTGTAAGGCAGCACCAGGACAGCGAACAGAGAGAGAAACTGGAGAACCTCAATTTGCTCTGGAAATGGCTGAGATTCCCTGCCCAGCAAATAAAAAGTATGACACAGGAAACAGAGGCGGAAGGAAACAAAACAGCACATTGGTAACTACGGATGGAATGGGTAAGGGACTGATGGCATGGAGGGCAGGAGGAGGAGGGGCACGGGAAGAGTTTAGACGAGGGAGTAGACCAGGCCAGACTGGTCTCGACCTCTCAAAGTGCTGGGGTTACAGGTGTGAGCCACCGCGCCTGGCCCAGATGCTGTACTTTTGTGCCATGATTTCATGCACCGTGGTGTTACTGCGTTGTACTTCACCACATAGTTGTGGGTGCCTGTCACGGGTCGTGTGCTGCCAGCTCTTACTGTGCTTTCAGTGTAGCCCGAGCGCAGTGGGGTCTCACTTCGCCCAGTCTGTGTACGCATCTGGGAATCGCAGTTCAGACATGAAAACAATGACGATCTTAGCTCACCTGTGAGAAAACTTTAAAACGTATCTACTCCCTCGTCTGAACTCTTCCCGTGCCCCTCCTCCTGCCCTCCATGCCTCCAGTCCCTCATCCTTTCCATCCGTAGTAACCAATGTGCAGTTTTGTTTCCTTCTGCCTCCGTTTCCTCTGTCATATACTTTTTATTTTCTGGGCAGGGAATCTCAGCCATTTCCAGAGCAAATTGAGGTTCTCCGGTTTCTCTCTTTGTTCACAGTCCTGGTTCTGCCTTACAAAAGCACAGGAGTTGTGGCAAAGGCAGGCATCCCCTCAGAGGGCGGGGAGGGAGAGGTAAGGAGGGGATAAGACCCAGAATTCTTTCTGAGGGAGAGAAGGAGATGGGACACACTCAGTTACTTTCCATCAGGAGCCTCCTTCATCCATGCTGGTATTTATGCCCTGGCCATACTCGAGGGAAAATGTGCCTTTTCTTTCCCTCAGATACCCCCTCCTAGCCTCTTTTCATTCCCAACTGTGTGGCTGTTTTTTGAAGCAATCAGTAACAGTTTTCTTTTAAATAAACAATAACAGGTGGTACATTATAATCTGCAAAATGCCTTCAAGTACTTGGGCTGTTTTAATCCTCTTTGTAGGCATGGATGTGGGCACCGTGCTTATTCATTCTCTCATGGCTCTCTCCTGCCCCTTCTTCCACCCCCCTTCCTCCTCCTCCTTTTACCTTCCTCTCCCCTTCCTCTTTCCTTCCTTCCCCTCTTCTTTCCTCTCCCTCTGCCCTTTCTCCCTCCTTAATCTTCTGCCCTCCCCGCTTTCTCTCTCTTCAGCAGGACCTGGGAGCGCCCGCTGCGCCCAGTCTCCAGAGATGTCATCGTCCGCTGGTTTAAGGAGGAGCAGCTGCCTCGCCGAGCTGGCTTCGAGAGGAACACCAAGTTCATCGCCCCCTGGTTCCATGGTAGGACCATTTTTCTGGGCCCTGTGCCAGATGATTTCTACGTCCTTTCCTCTCTGGGGTTGGGGAGGGGTGCCGGAGGACTGTTATAATCAGGGGACAGAGGACTTTATGCAATCTCCATTCTGCCCCCGATATCTCCCAGCGGGAGTCCAGGAGGCTGCAGGCCCCAGGGATGCTGAACGGGCACTCCCAACTCTTCTGGGAAGGGATGACCATGGCTCTTGCCCACTGCCGTCACCTTGCAGCCTCCGTAGCCATCAAGGGCTCCTCAGAGGCATCTTCTTTGTGGTCATAAGACAGTGAGCCCTGAGAGTTGCACGAGTTCCTGGTAGGCAGGACCCCCATCCCCGGATCCTGGCCACAGCCTGTCACACTATAGGCTCCGGATACGTGCTTGTTGATTAGATGACAGATGGCTGAATGAAGAGGTCAGCATCACCTAATCATAGACTATTAGGGCAGGGTGGCTCCCTGAAAGCCCCTCGTTGCCCACCTTGTTCCTAAAACTCTGGCCTTTTTTCTGTTCCTCAAACAAGCCATCCTCTTTCCCGTCTCAGACGCTTTGTGCTTGCTGTGGCTCTACTCACGTTTTCTGTTCTTCGGGAGCTCTTTGCATGGCTGACACATTCTCATTTTCCATCTCAAACATCCCCCTCCTCAGAAAGGCCTTTCCTGAACTCCTTACCTACAACAGCCTTCCCCAGTGTCCCTCAGCTCACCCTGCTCATTTCCTGGAGAGAGTGTGCCCAGTTGGTGTTTATCAGATTTTCTTATTGTCTATCCTCCCACCTCAATGTGAGCCTGTGAGGTTAAGGACCTTGTTTGTTTTCCCCATCCCTGGCTTAGTAAGTATCCACGGGAAGAACGGATGAAGGTGGGAAGAAAATGTCTGGGTTGGGATTCGATCCCAGGCTTTCCAGTTCCAAAGAACAGCCCTTGCTTCTCTGCATTGAAAATCTAGAGCCACACATGTGAGGGTCAGGCTAGCCTTCCCAGCCGGTCTTAGGCTTGCTGAGGTCAGGGACCTTATGTCTTAGGCATCTCTGTATTCAACCCTCACCCCTGCCTCTCACCCAGGGACCAAGTACAGAAATACCTCCAAGACGAGCTCGCCACCTTCCCCTGTTGCCACTGCTGTTGAGCTCTCCAACCCAGTGAATAGCATCCATGTCACGTAGGTCAGATTGGATATGCCTCGGTCACAAATGCTTCTGAAGTCTCAGTGACCCCCACCAGTCAAGGTTTATTTCTTACCCATGTTATGTGCCCTTTGGGAGTTGGTTACAGACTTTAGTCTGGGCCTCAGCCTGAAGGAGCTGCCTCTATTGAAAATGCTGATGGTCGGTCGGGTGCGGTGGCTCATGCCTGTAATCCTAGCACTTTGGGAGGCTGAGGCGGGAGGATCACTTGAGGTAGGAGTTCGAAACCAGCCTGGGTAACGTGGTGAAACCTTGTCTCTACTAAAATATAAAAAAAATTAGCTGGGCGTGGTGGTAGACCCCTGTAATCCCAGGTACTCAGGAGGCTGAGGCAGGAGAATTGCTTGAATCTGGGAGGCAGAGGTTGCAGTGAGCCGAGATTGCAACATTGCACTCCAGCCTGGGCAATAAGAGTGAGACTCCGTCTCAAAAAAAAAAAAAAAGGAAAAAAGAAAACGGTGACGATCTCACGACAGAGGGAAATGAGGGACTTGGAGAACCACACATTGGCTCCTAAAGCTTTTACAGGGCACTGACGTGAGGTTGTCGCTCACATTCTGTTAGCCAGAGCCAAAGTGGCGTCCACGTTACAGTGGATAGTTTTGAAGGATAATCTAGTCTGTTGTGACCACCGTCCACTTTCAGACCTCTTTCTTCTCCCAGGTCACCACACATCTGGAAGAAGGTTGGACTGGCTCTTTAGGGCTCAGAGAGAAGACAGCACTCATGGCTGACTGAGCCATGTGTCCCTGGAGCTGGTGCTGGGGATTCTCTGCCTCTCCCTTCTGTCCCAGTTATGTGTCCCTGTAGCCCCGGTAGAGCTTCCATTTAAGTCACCACTGTGCTTTTTATTCAGACGTTACTATGGTCACGGAGGTGCAGCACTGGCATCTTAGGGAGCTGCGGAGTGTCACTCAGGAGTGGCACGTGGGTGAGGGTGGGCAGCTGTGCCGGGTGCTCCAACTGCCTTTGGTAGCCGGTGGAGAAGGTACGACCGAGGTGCTCAAATTTATTTTTAGCTTTGTTTTCTTCTTTGACTTTTTTTTTTTAAAGGTAACTTTTATGTTGTCACAGAACCAACAGAACCAAGATTTAAGTCTCATAATTTATGTAGCTAATTTCATGTTCTTCTGACAGTTCTACCATAAAGCGTGCAGAAAAGTTGCTGTTACACAGGCTGGAGCTATTTGGTGACAGAATTTTCATTGATCTGTGACAGAAGGAAAGAAAAAGGCTCACATATGGAGGGTGGCCAAGTAACTTTGCTTAGAAAGGATTGTGTCATATTCTAAGATTATATCCTTTCCTCAGTTTTAGTGTTAAAATGTCCTATCTTTTATGAATTGATGGTGATAGTAAGTCATGGTTAATTTTATATATTGCCTTTGCTTGAAAAAGCAAAAAGTTAGCAACCCAGGACCTCCCCCACCCCTGCTTTTTTTTTTTTTTTCCCCAACTTTACTCACTTGTAAAATCCCGAAGTCTGGAACAGTGAGTGTGTTCCAACTTCTCTTTCAATATAGGAATTTCCTGATGGAAGAGTTAGGAGTTCCTCTGTACCAATTCCTACAGGGGCAGGTGGCCTGCATCAGTCTAATTGTTAAGGAGTTTTTGCTGCAGTTTGGCAGGGGACCTGGCTCTCGCTGGGCTTGGTTGGGCATCTCAGCTGGGGCATCTCTGTACCATGGAACTCTTACGCTCTTCCTGGGACTAGTGGGCCAGCTCAGGCGTGCTCTTCTCATGGTGACAGGACAGACATCAGAGAGCAATTGGAAGCATGCCAGGCTCTTGAGCCCTAGTTTTAGAGCCAGCACCTTGTCGCTTTGCCTTAATACCTCACAGAACTGAGGAATGGGAAAATATATTCTGTCTTTTTCTTACAAGGAACTGCAGAGTCCTATGTCAAAGGGTGTGGCAACAGGGAGGGAAGAAGAATTTGAGCCAATAATGTAATCTGTCAGAATCTCAATACAAATCTTTTCTTTCCTGGATAGAAGAGTCTTAGTTAATTTAGTTAGATTTCAGATGCAGGTTAAACATGACTACTCGGATGGTTTCCTTCCCTTTCCTCAAACACATGTGGATTTGTGCCAGTGTTATCCAAACAGCAAGTAGACAGAGAATCTGAAGATATAGGGTCCATTCTAGAACTTAGCAGCTCTGTGACCTTGGATGTGTCCTTTAAATTCCCCATCTGTGAAACTGGCGTTGTAACATCTACTTCACAGGACACTTAGGAAGACTGAGCCAACAGCAGTGCTTTGTCCACCATAAAAAGCTACGCCAGTGTGTTTCCTGATGCTTCCTGGGGTCTGGGGTCAACCACCAGAGGCTCTACCTCCTTTGGGAAATCAGGTTTGGGGAAATGGGCTCAGAGGGCAGAGTGAGAGGGCACCGGGAACAGGCTTTTCTCTGGGACCACAGGGTTCTAGGTAAAGTCTCCTGGGTTACAAAGAGTGATGCTTACTCCTTGTTTCTCCTTTGTTCATTGTTATGTTCCAGGAATTGTGAGAGAGATTTGTACTTATAACTACTTGCGAGAAGTGCCAGTACATACAAGCTTGGCTTTGGGGGAAAAAAATCTATTTTCGAAATTTGACATGTATCTACAATTATTAAGAATGTTCTCTGTCAGAACATTGGCTCAGTCAGAACCCATTTCTCTTCCTGAGCTTTACTTCTACAAAAACAGTCACAATGTGGTCTATGATTCATTGTCTGGGCGACAACCTATTGGCTGCCTTGCTGCTTGCCCTTAGGGGGGCTTGGCACAGAATGGGACTACCCGGTGGGTGATGTCGTTGGCATTGGTAAATTATCTCCATGTGACCCTGCTCAGGTGCTGGGAGTAGATCTCACATGTGGCCTCACCTGGGCTTGGCTGGGCCTTTGGCTGTCCTCTGTGGGGTGTTAGTGGCATGCTTCTTCATGAGCAAGCACAAAGGGGGGACCCCACCTGGGAGGAGGCACTCCCTAGCCATGTAGACAGTTCAGGGATCCCAGCAGTGAGGGGCAGCTTTCCTGTGAGATGCGAGAGTTCCAAAGTAGAATGGACACTTCTTCCCACCTGCTTCCACTGCGACTTCAGAATCTATTCAGAGAAGAATGCTGAAGGTCACAGAGCTGCTGGGGTCTAGAATGGGCCCCACATCTTCAGACTCGTCCGGATTGCTGTTCGGATGACAGCACACAAACAAAACATTGCTGTGTTTGAGGGAAGGGAAGGAAATATAAATCACAGAAGTCATTTTAATGATTACTTCGGGAATGTTTATCTTGGAAATGAGACGCTGTGGGGAGGAATGGGTAGAGGAACAGAACCCCCGCTCAGTCTCTGGAGCTCTGTGTTGAGAAAGGGGGATTACTGAGAAGGTCAGAACTGGGCTCTAGGTGTGTGAGGTTGTTTTTGTGTTGCTGTAAACAAATACCCGAGGCTGGGTAATGTATAAAGAAAGGTGGTTTAATGGACTCACAGTTCTGCAGGCTGCACAGGAAGTAGCACCAGCATCTGCTTGGCTTCTGGGGAGGCCTCAGGGAGCTTTTACTCATGGCAGAAGGCGAAGCTGGAGCAGGCACGTCACGTGGCGAGAGTGGGAGGAAGGTGGGTAGTGGCAGGGGCCACACACTTTTAAACAACCGCATCTCATGAGAACTCACTCACTGTGGTCAGGACTGCACCAGGCCATGAGGAATCTGCCCCCATGACCCAAACATCTCTCACCAGGCCCCACCTCCAACACTGGGGATCACGTTTCAACATGAGATTTGTGGGGGACAGATATCCAAACCATATCACTGGGG